TAATCTGAATTTACAACTTTATAGGATTGGAGAAAACAGTGAATTTTATATTTATAGTTAACTTTTAGATCTTTTTCCACAGTGATTCATATGCTTCTCTCTGTCACAGTCTATCACTATATTAATTACTTCTCAAATTCCAGCCAAAGGGGCACATTAGCCCATCTTACTTCTACTGATAACCGAAAATCTTAGGAAAGTATAGTTTTGTACTAAACATGTGAGAATAGTTGACCTTGATTTGATTGTTGATTGCATACGTAAGTTTTCAGCTGTTTCTAAATAGTGTATGGCTTATTTATATATGTTATTGTGTGTAACCCTCCTCTCTGACATCCTCGGTATATTCCTGTATAATTACTTCTTGTGTGTTTAACTACTTTCACTAGACTGTAAGCTCCTGTTGCTAAGGACTGTGGCATAATATGTACTTAGTAAATTTTTGATAGACAATAAATGAGTAAATGAATCATGCCTTATGTACTTAGTACTTATTTTTTCAACTAGATTATAAGCCCCTTGTGGACATTGGATTTTATCTGTGTAGTCTCCTACAGTCCATGTCATTGTATCTTTGATTATAAAAAACACTTGTTTGTTTAAACATAAATTTTTCTAGTTACATTCTAAGGTAATTAAGATAGCTCCAAGCCCTACAATAAAAACTTAGGCCTGTCATTTATTGAGGAGTTATTAAGGGCTCTAAGATATTAACTCATTTAATTTCTACAAAAACCTATGAGGTAAATAGTAGTATTTGAAAATTGAGATACAGAATTTTAGTAACTTTCTTAAGGTTTTATACAGCCAGAAAATGGCTTGATGAAGAGGAGTATGGGAATTGTGTTGGAAAGAAATGTTTTAAGTGGCTATCAAAGTAACATCTACTGCCTTCTCAGTTTGGTTTCATGATTGATTAAATGTCTATGTTAAACTTAAGATCTCTAATAAAAGATGTAGCTGGTCCTTTGTTGGAGATGGATGCTTATGAACCATTTATTTCAAGTGAGTAATATAGTAGTGAGTTCTGGCTTCAAAGGAGGAGAGAGAGCTAAGGTTAACAGAAAGTTTTCTCTCTTTGGATTGAAAAAAATTAAAGATAAGGAATCATGTTATTTCCGTCCATGTTCAATTACTTTAGTGCTGCAAACATATATCGAGTACCCACTTTGAATAATTTGTGCTGTTCGGTGCTATGAAAGACACAAAGTTAAATGAGTTGCTCTCTGTATGTTGAGCAGAAATTCTAGGAAGTTAAGCAAAAGTCTATTTTAGAATTAGCAGAAATCAGTAGTAGACAAAACAGGTATATAATCTCTAGTTGTGATAAACTTTCCTTAATAGTGTTTTTTACTCCAGGTTAAATCAGCAGAGTCATTGAATCAGGTATGTGCAGTAGAGTTAAAAGCATCAACAAGACCTATGATAAGACTAAAGAGTGCAGGCGATCCTTGAGGTTAGATCGAACTGTCTTCAAGGAGACTTTCTGATAGAATGTTCTTACTTTCCTCAGATCTTCAGTTTGACAGATCTGGAAACTCCGTTTTGAAAATGTTTCCAGGGTTAATCAGGCCCAGAACAGTGACTCTACTTCTAGACTCAAAAGTGATAGTCATATAAACCAGGTTGACTATTTATTCCCTTATGTATGATTGTCAGGTACCAAAGGACTCTGCAGTACATTCTTTCTCCTGTACAACAACATATATGGCAAAGTGTTACTTTGTGAGAATGAACTCAAAGCAGAATGAGTTAGTTGGATGGATTGTATCATCAAGCTGTCTATTCCAAGAGGACTAGATTCTCAGGTCTGTTAACCAGGAAACGTCTGGTGATAAATTCTTGCTCTTTGCCTCTCACCTCCCCCCCCCTCAATTTTTCCAATAGGCAATAAATACCTCCTTCCCCCTTCCTATTAGAAACTTTTTTTTTCCATTCCAGTTATAATCTTACTAGTTGAGATACAGTTTTCCTTTAAGTCAAACATATTTCCTTAGACTGAACCTGAAAGATAATTTCTTAGAGTAAGATGAGCCATCAGGAGAAGATAAAGTATAGTTGATAAAATACTTGAGCCCTATATTTCTGTAAGTCTTTCTTGTTTCTAGTTTATTCTTTTTTTTTAGAAGATAAACTTCCGGTTTTTAAAATAGGAAAGCATTCTCATTTATCTCAGTTATGCAGACTGGCAGAAGTCTTGGATATTTTTATCATTAGACCATAATCAATACATAAATATTTCTTTGGAAATAAGGTATTTTGATTGTAGATAATACAATAAAAATGTGTTTCTTATCATTCCTTGAAGAGTGAGTTTTTCTAGATAGCTGTTTTACATATAACTAAGAATTTATAAAATATACTCCGTGAAGATAGCAATTACCTTTTTGGTCATTTTTGTGATAGTCACTAAAGGTATTGAGTCTTTTATGTTGAATGGAATTAGCTGCACTAAAATCTATTTTAAATATTTTTAGTTTATTTTTCATGTGTGAAATATTCCACAATTCCCTGCTTAATAAAACAAAACAAAAAGTTTATTAAACCTAGTTCGGCACTTGGAAATAACTTATGATTGTCAATATTCCTGCCAGTAGTAACCTCTCTTCTCTTCTAGTTTGCTGTTTCTATTGCGCATATAAATACGATAGCATGATAACTTGTGTTTCCCTGAGTATGCTGTATAAATGCCAGTGCAAAAACTTTGTGACATGTTTGACTGTTCTTTTTTCCTTATAATAGTACTCTGGATAGCTGAGAGATAAGCATTTGCCATTTCTAGTGGAAAAAAATAGTCTTTTTTGGCTAGCCTCACAAATCCTGTTCATAAAGTCATGGTAGACATCACATCCTTTGATTGAATGACAATCTGTTTATGATGACTTGAAAGGTAGTGTTCCTCGTATTTCTTGAACCAGATTCTAGAAAGATGTCAAAAGCACTTGCAAATAAGAGCTTTTCCCATATGAAGTCTAAATTCAAAGTCCTTAAAATTGATTATTTTATTGTCACAACTACATTCCTCAAAGTTATAATCGAGTTTTAAGTTTCTGCACAGTAAAAATATCCTGTAACATTGGCTAGTTCTAGTAGTCTAACCTTGTAATTGCCTTCCTTATCCTGAAATAGTTTCCACTTTTAAGTGTTATCTACACCTGCAATTTGGGGCCATTTATATACCTTTCCTGATAACACTTTTAAATTTCTTTCCTGTCTTTTCCTTTGTATTTTTGCTCAAGCTATCTTAATTGTTTTGGAATAACCTGTCACCATCAGTTCTAAGATACCATTTAAATTACTTCCTTCACTTTTTTTTTCTGATATGGAACCAGAACCCCAGCTTTCCTCTAAGTCTTTAATAAATTTTTTATGTATTTGCAGACTGTGTTTTCACAAAGTAAAACATTATTTTGAGGAAATTATGCAACAGAACCAGGAAAGGTTAATTATAAATAGAATTGTCATTGGAAACCATGAATTTCAGAAAATGCTAGGAAATTAGTGACTATAGAGTGACTAATCTATAGCCTCCACACAGATTACTGGGAAATCTGGAAATGAAACTCTGTTATTAGTTACTAGTCACATAAAAAATGATAGATTTGTTTTCCTGTATGTAGGCCAACTGTAGTTAGACAACTGTTCATACATAAGAATTTAATGTTCTGAGCCATTCGTGTAACTTCTTTAAAGAGTTTTTTGAAGTAAAGGTGCTTTTCAGTAGTATTATTGGAAGAGAGTTCTATAGCTAAATAAGTTCTTGCAATTGGAGTTGCAGCCACAAATATTTGCATGAATAGTATTGCTTAATAACTGCAGTCCACCTGCTATATCTGAGGAAGCTAATAAAGGAAAGGATAAAAGGAGGAAGATTTTTTTGTATATTTAAAAGAATATATTTTCTTTTGTACAACTTAAAAGTATATTTAAAATGTAAATATATATCTAAAATAAGATTATATAATTTGTGTTTTGATTATTTGGATATTCCTTATCATCACTGTTTCTCAGTCTAATGATGGATCTTCCATTAACATGAATTAGACCAGCATGTCTAGAAGCTTTCTTCTCTTTATTGAGTTGTTTTTCTTATATATTTGTGTTAACAGCTTTATAGAAAACACATAATGAGAAATTGCATTATGATGAAGGGACTGGTTTTTCTCTTGAAAAAAAAAAAAAAGTTTTTTTACCAAAGAACACTAATCAGTTAGCTTTCCTTTTCAGAGTAATAAATGTTGTAGTACGGCAAATGCATACATTGCCTTGTTGAATTTGGCTTTGTTTACAGAAATCCATAACCAGTAGCGCTCTTTGGCTCTTGACAGTTTTCTGTTCAATAGTGTCTTTCATTTATCATTTTGGTATTTATTTTTTAATGCATATTTAATGACAGTTGAATTAAATATAGACTTTTAAAAGAATTATCAAGAAGGCAAGTGTAATAAAAGGTTATTTTTTAATGAAGTGAGACTCCTAAAATTTGCGGGGGGCGGGGTTGTAACTGAATAAATTGGTTATTTTTAGCACAACGTAATGTTGATTCTGTTTTTCCAAGGGAATTTCAGCAATGTACATAGATAATTTAAAATTCTTTTTTTTAACATCTTCATTGAAGTATAATTGCTTTACAATGGTGTGTTATTTTCTGCTTTATAACAAAGTGAATCAGCTCTATGTATACATATATCCCCATGTCCCCTCCCTCTTGCGTCTCCCTCCCACCCTCCCTATCCCACCCCTCTAGGTGGTCACAAAGCACCGAGCTGATCTCCCTGTGCTATGCAACTGCTTCCCACTAACTAGCTATTTTGCATTTGGCAGTGTATATCTGTCCTTATATACACTACCACTCTCACTTTGTCCCAGCTTAGTACCCATATATAAACTTTTTGTATCTTTAGAATATTCTCTGAATATGATTAAAAACATCATGAAATAGATATAGAATCAAGCCTTGATAACTGTTATATCTGAGTATTTTTTTTGATTTTTAATAGGATACAACATCTATTGAAAAGATGTCAAACTGTTGTGAAGAAATGTAAGTATGAAAGTGAAGTCTGTAGTGTTCTTATTTGAAAATGCAAACACCTGGTTATATTTGAAAAATGTGTGCATGTAGTGGAAAGATAATATAATGATGGCTTTTTCTTGGTGCCTTTTCTAAGACCTGAGCTAGCAAGCATAACCCAGTCTTACAGTAGGGGTAGGGGTCTTCTAGCCGTGATAGTTTTCAAACAAAATAAGTACTGATCATTCTTGTTCCTTGTCCTACTAAAGTAAGTTAAATTATTTGTCCTGAAAATACATCAAAAGAGATTTGCTACTGTGTTGTTGACACACATTCTGTTAATCCTGAGATTCTCCTCTGCTTCAAAAGTTGCCCTAGGTTGATTGACGACACAGATACAATATCTGCTATCCAGAGTTAAAACTCAGCTGCATGCCATAATGAAAGAAAAGCTGTATTTGTGATGCTGGGACACAATTCATCAGAGTCCAGTAATGGATCCCCAGCCAACCTGTATTGTTTTAGCTGACTGAAGTGCACCATGGGAGTGCTGTCTTTCACTAATAATGCTGTCTTCTGTAGATCGAGGCCCCGAAAGCCATGGCAGCAGACCTTCTCAGAAGTTTTTGGCACTCGTTGGAAGATCCTGTGGTTTATTCCTTTCAGGCAGAGGCAACCACTGCGAGTTCCCTACCACTTTGCCAATCACGTCTAAACAGATGGATGGTGGGCACAGATGGGTCCTCCATGCTGGAAATGCGTTACAGGTTTTCTGATAATAGAACTATGACAGTCTTCAAGTCAATTAAAATCCACCCACCAATCTTAAGCATCATAATGTGCCCCAGGCTTTATTTTAATAGTGATCTTGATCCTGTTGTGGGACTAATACATGATCTATATTTAAGTTTTAAAGCATGTTTACTTTCAAATTAGCTTTCCACAGGGATTTCTTTAAATGCTTTTGTTATTAAACTCAAAAGGCAGTGATTGGGATGAAGTAATTGTACATAATTTCTTTTAGTACTGACAGTGTTACAGATTTTACTTTATGGGAAACTTCGGATGTTTATTTAAAATTTTCACCCTTAAGCAGTACTAACCAAATCTGAATTTCATTCTTTAGGTTTTACAAAAGTTGATACGCCTTATATGTAAATTTTCTTTTTCAAATACAATTTTATGTTATACTTCCTTTTGTATGTGCTGCAAGATTTTTTAAAATTTAGCATATAGGATTGAACAACAACAACAAAACAAAAACAGCAACAAAAAGGACAGTGTTTTCTTAGAAGTAGCTTTCTAATGTTTTTTTTTTCTCTTCACCAAAAACACCACTAAAGTAAAACACCAACTACCTACCTTATTTTAAAGGAAAGATTAATTTTTTTTCACATTAACTTTCCCGTTTCTTTCCCCTGTACTGTTGTAATTATTGGTTTTTGTTAAAATATTTGCTCCAAGGGGAAATTTTTGACCAAACAGGCATGTGTTCCTATTTTACCCTAAGATTTTTATTAGCAAAAAGGGTAAAGAATTTGCAATAATTCCACTGATACCTTTTCTAGTGTAGTTATGTTAGAATGCATGTTTTTAAAATGCTAGTATAGGGCTCCCCTGGTGGCATAGTGGTTGAGAGTCCGCCTACCGATGCGGGGGACACGGGTTCGTGCCCCGGTCCGGGAAGATCCCACATGCCGCGGAGCGGCTGGGCCCGTGAGCCATGGCCGCTGGGCCTGCGCTTCCGGAGCCTGTGCTCCGCAACGGGAGAGGCCACAACAGTGAGAGGCCTGCATACCGCAAAAAAAAAAAAAGCTAATATAACTAGATAATATATAATGTATAGTATAAAGAAGAATATTGTGCTTTAAAAAAATATATGTATACTTTTTACTTTTGTTTACCTACTAGTAGATCTAAAATTACACCTTGAAGGTTTTTATATAATAGATATTGGCCAACTAATATTGAAATTTTATTTATAGGAAGTTACTAGTAAAAGTAACTTTTGTGTACCTGTAATCACCCAGATTGAAATTAAATTTTAATTGACCAACTATAATCTGGATCGAGAGACCATTTTTAGTAGGCAATGTTAGGAAATGACCTTAAAATGAGAAAATATAATCTATATTCATTATTAGCCTTATACAAATTTAAATTGCTAATTGTGATGGTCTCTTGGAAAGCATAGAATATTTGTGTGAGAAAAAATTTAGCATGGTTTGAAAAAAATTCAGTTAAAAATTTTTTTCCATTAGAATACTGCAAAATCCATATATCTTTAAAAAACTAATTATGTACTCAGCCTTTCCCTTGAAGAGAGGATTGAAGGGGTATCTAGTGTTCTTGGAGCATATCAATATTTTCTTTTTGGTTAGTTTTGGTAGTAAGGAGTCATACCTGAGAAATCATGAAACAGAAGGTTACCATTGTCAGCTAGTTAACTATACTGTGGTTATTTTTTAGAAATTATAAATATCTCCTAAAATAATAGAATAAGGTCTACTCAGAGATACAAGTACCATGTCTTTCATGTTCTGATTACAGTGCTTTATTATTTAAAAACTTAGTGGCAGATGGAAATATTTATTGGTGCTGATAAGATTCATAGTAAATTTAATATAAGAAGTATATTTATAGAGCTTAATGAACCACAAAATTAGTACATATATTCATTCCAGGCAGATGGGTTGAGTTTTGACCAAATTTGGCCTGGTGACTGAACTGTTATAAGGAGTAATGTATAGATAATGTAGATAGATGTCAGTCAGATGCCTTATGCTGTATACATTCCTTTCAAATAAGGACATTGAGAAAACAGCAAAGCCAAGTGAAGACCCCCTAAAGAGCTTTATGGACGAATTTATACTTCATATGGTAGCAGTAGCTACCTTGAAAGGTACCAGGGAGGTACTGAGTGCCAACCTCTGTCTCAGTAATGAGAATCAAGAGGTGGTCTCTTTCCCACTCTAACCGTTTCTGGTCTTGGTTTTCTTAGGTTCCCCACTTCTAGGGCACCTCTTCCCACCTTTCTCTTTACCTTCCCTGATCCCTCTGTACCTGAGTTCTCTAAATTACTGGAATACAAACTAATGCACTAGGCAAGGCATATATTTATTTTTGTTTGAATGGCAGAAATGCTACATATCAATATATTTGTGTAGGAATCTATATAAAGTATATCTATATATACTTATGCTGTAACTTTCAGTATTTCAGAGTTAGCACACCTAACTGGGTTTTATGATTCTTGTTAGACAACTTGAGAGAGAACACCTGGCACTTTCCTGGGGAGTCCATAAACTCTAGTGTGCTCTCTGCGCCCTCTTTTGGCTAATTGATGTAATTATACTGGCTCTAGAGATTTGTTGCCCAAATGAAATGTATACCCAAATTCTGAACATTTCAGAGGTACAAACTTAAGGGAAGTCTATGTACAAAAATGTAAGGTTTTATGAAAATTAATGTGTTCCTATTTGTGATTCTGATGTCTGGTTCATACATATATGACTACTTTGCTTCATTTATGTATATTCATATTATATTTTTTACTATCAGACAAATTTATATCAGATCAGGATAAATAAATATAAACCATTTCATGAATTTTATTTTGAACCTTATTTTGGCAAATTAAGTCCTTAGAATTAAAAAGTCATTACCTTAAAATGACCAATTTATTACAAAACAAATTTATCGTAGTTACAATGGCAAGCCAGTGTCTAATGTGTTTTACTGAATATCTAAAAAAATACATTCAGTTTTTTAATCCCAGTTTTGGAATGATTTTTTTAACTGATTCAATTGCATTAAAATAATAAGAGATTAATAATTCTTTCTATACTTCTCTTCATTCTTTTTAACTTTCCTAGTGTGAGTTAGAGCTGTAGCTTTAGCAGCCAATTTATTATATATTCTGGATAACCCTGAAAATAACTAATGATGTTGAGCATTAGAAAATAATTATAAGCAGTGAGATTACTGATGTAATCTGTATATTGGATGAAGTATTTCGTTATAAACATTTCATTTCATTTTAAGCGAAATGTATTTTAAAGGATGTTTTACATTCAGCAAAGTCATTAATTGGACTTCTGGAAATGAAAGTAGTTGTTAAGTACTTGTTATAAATTGCACCTCTTGAACAATTATATTTGTTGCTCTTCTTTTCTGCAAACAAAAATGTTTATGGGCTCAAGATTGTAGGCAAAAAGTGACTGAGTTCAGAATTTTAAAAATATTGTTAGCTGATGTTCCATTGTGAGAAAAATGCTATTTTGCTTCAGAGTTGTATTAAAAATATTTGTGGTTAACATAAGAGATAGATATACTTAAAATATTAATATGTTTATGTCTTTGAACAGGAGAAAGCATAGTTTACTTTTAAGTAATAGAAATAGAGAACATAAGCATAAAGTTTAGTGTAACAGCTAAGTTAAAACTTCTGTCATAATGAACATCAGTGAATGTTTGCTAATGCTTAGAGGTATTTTTCTCTAAGGATGGCGGCTAATTATAACTGTTCTTCATCAGGCTTTTTCAAGTCACTTTCCTACAAATAATTAGTTGAAGGTGTGTCACCCAAAAGGGTGTATTAATGCTCATCATAAAGACTTGAGTTAGGGCAACACCTCCACCCACGAAGTATGAAGTAGTTTTGATTATAACCACATACCTTTCTATGTGTTAGATAATGGAGCAGTTTGAATGTTCTCACATATGTTGGTATAAAATCACAATGTATCCAGCTCTAGTTTACAATGGTATTAATATTAACAGAGCTGCTAGTCTTTCCCTGGACTTTTCTCTAGTGTCTACTTCCCTTGTGCTTCATGTATGAATAGACTACTTAGCTCAAGTTTACTAAACTATTGCTGCTTCATTAAATAAGTTTTTGACATGACCTCTATATATGTAGATATATCTAGAATTTACTTGGTACAGTTTACACTTACAAACATTAAATAATTTATTAATAGATATAAGTATTCGATTTTTTACGCAATTCTGCTACTGTTGCTTTCAAAAATATAAGTACTGGCAAATGTAGTTAGTAAGTCATGTACATTTAGTATGTTCTACTTGCTAGTATTAGTAACCATATAATTAACAAATGAATGAGTGTATTATTTAATGTCCACATTTGTTACTTTCGATCCTAAGAATCCTCTGAATTTCTCTGTAAATCACAAATTTCATTATGCTCTGAATTTAGCCATTCTCAATTGAATTCTAGAATATTCTTCAGCAGAATGTGAGAAAGTAATAGAACCAACTTGCTTGAAGTATTTTGAACCAATGTTGTTCTTATGTATATCAATCAGTATTTAGCATTTCAGCTGCATTTAGGATGATGATGGTTTAACTTCAGGAAGTGTTTTCTCTGATGTCTCCTTTCATTATCATTGTGCAATTTTTAACAACAAAATTTACTACATTTTTTCTGTTCTTCAGATGTTGTAATACTGCCTGCTAGTGCTAATTTGAAACAGAAATAGTAATGGTGTTTATCCTTATGTCATTGGTATTTTCTATTATCATTATTTTTTTTACTATTATTATTTCCTTTTTCCCTTGTCTACCATAGAGGACAGGTACAAATGAGTAGTGAGTAGCCAGAATTAGATAAAGAGAGTATTAAGATGGAGAGAAGGCTAGACAGAGCATGTATAATCAGCATCTCAGCAGAAGGGTTTACTGGATACAGAATCT